AGTTTAACCAAGTCATCAGAAAATAGCTTCCAAAGCAAATAAAACCTACTGCAGGTGGTTCTACCATTCATGATTGATTGAATTTGAATTAAGATCGTATTTATTAGTCATTCATTCTCTTACGGTTTTAATCTGTATTTAGTGTCACTGTGTGAGATACTGCTGTGTATAGTAATTAATCCTTTTGTAACTATAAGATTCCGACTGTGAAGTTTAGCAGTCTTTTAGGTGTTTTTCTGCCGGAATGCAACAATTTGGTTTTCTAATTTTATACTTCAATGTCAATTGTAACATAAAGCAGCGTGATAGAAGACCTTTGTGTTTTGTGAAGAATTGTGGTATTTAACAAAGATTTAACATGTATGTGCAGTCAAAAGCCTAATCAAATTTAATTACCAAAGTAGAGCTACCTTTACTATTTCTTGTACAATTACAATCTTAATATTTTTCAAATGTTCAGGTTTTTGTTAATGTGGATTTATGGGCTCCTTGCAGGCTTTACAGTTCTTTCTCATTGTGAAGTGTGTTTTAGATTTCTAGGTATTTGTTAATAAGTTATTTCAGATATAGTTACATAAATCTTAGCAGATGTCACTTATATGAATGGAGAACTTTGATTATTTTTTTCACTGGAGGTAGTTTGGCTTTTTGCAGATTTTATATTGAATGCAAAAGCAGTTATGTAATCATAAGAAGCTGGGGATTCTCAGCTGAATTGGCTAACAGGAAGTGGCAAAAATAGGAAACTTATAAGCAACGTATTTGAGATCCAAATTCAGACTGAGTAGGGAGATAACGTGGCAAGATGTTTAATACTGATTATTTGTTTCATAATTGTGGATTTCTGTCAGGATAATGAAACTCTTCTGATCTGTCTGCCTAAATGGTTGAAAGATTAAAAACAGTTCCCAAACTACCTGCTTTCCAGGGTAACAATAGACTTTCTGACATTTGATGGCGCTTTCTGGAGTTTGCCATCACAGCTAATGTTCTGGATCAGGATTGTCTTTTTAAAAAATATTTTTATTTATTTTTTAGTTTTGCCTGGGATTTTTCCATCTGGATGTTTTTAAGATGAGTAAGGATTTTTAAGATTGCATATCTAAATGTTTAACTGCTTGATGTAACTTCTTCATAGCTGATGAATAACACATTGTCACATGAATGTTTGAACAAGCTTTCTTTATTTGAAAATGGTATAGAAATTGTTCCTTAGAAGCAATAAAAGTACAATGTGTAATGATTGTGTGATTTTTTTTTTTTTTAATTTTTTTAATGAAGTAATGCATTCTTATTTAACTTTCAGGAAGCACAGGCTTATGCAGATGACAATAGCTTATTGTTCATGGAGACGTCTGCCAAAACATCTATGAACGTAAATGAAATATTCATGGCAATTGGTGAGAATTTAAGGGAATTTTTTTTCATACTATCACAATCTTCCTAACCCAAGATCCTTGTTTTTTGCTGAATTTATTTCTGGCACTGAAGTTTCCTTAGGCACTTTCATATCCCTTTTGATGTTCAGAAGTCAGATAAACTTACTTGTAGCACAGGTCTTCTGTCAAGCACCAAAACACTTGGATTGACTTGGAATAGCTCAGTATCACTATAGCAACACTTTGTAACAAGTACTTGCTTCATATCAATTATAAATATGGGGAGGCAGGAACACATAACTGCATCAAAAGTATATTTTTCTCGTAAATGCTTGAGATGGGCCTGCGCTTAATGATACAGAAATGCTCAATTAACAGTGTTCTGATGAAATTTTAAAATTAATTTGTTTAAAGGTGCAGTTTGCATCTTGATTTAAAAAAACCAAACAAAAACAAACAAACCCCAGGAAAAAAATAATCCCCCAAATCTGATTATTTCTTTGGTAATTTTTTATATGAGTAGTTCTTACCTCTGCATATTTTAATGAAGTATACAAAGTAAATTTGAGAAACCAGTGCCAAATTAGTACCTTTTGTCTGCAAGGCTGGATGTCCATGTGAGTATTCTTTCATATTGGTGGGTGAAATTCAGCTTTGTCAGTTCATCAGAACAAAATCTGTGCAGCAATAGACCCTGAAAGGAAATCTTGACAAGGATGTAAGTGTTGCATGGAACTTAGAATGGTCCTTTGCACAACATGGATGCAGTTCTCAGGACCATGTGTAAATATGATTTCCAAAAATGGGAGAAAATTAAAAATGAGAACACAGAATTGAGGAATGCAAGCGGCAGCTGCTTGTAAATTGACTGCTTTAGATCTCATTCAGAACTTCCAGTTAAAAAAAATTTGTGTTAATGTACAGTTCTAGAATGCATCAAGAATCCAAAACAACAGTGGTCTGAAGGCATTTTTCTACTGGTACTTTGTCCCTTCGTACTTGCAGAAGCTTAGTACCACATGAATGCTTGGGTTCTGTCACAGAATTGTAGAACAGCCCTCAAAAGATCATCTGGTCCAACTTTTTGTGGGAAAGGGAGCCTAGGTGAAATTACCTAGCACCCTGAGAAATTATCTAGCACTACAACACATCTGGTTGATATGTACTCTGCTGGTTTTCTGGCTGTTATACTTGAATTTTACTCCTTTAAGGAAAAATTGTTCTTTAAAAAGCTGGCCAAAGTAAGTACTTTGGAGTTGAAGCTTGCAGCCAAGCTGTAGAACAGGGGTGGTGTTGGGTTCTGGTAACATGGGCAAGACAGTTCCATGGAAGTCCTTTATGTAGAACTTGGCTTTCTCTCCCTCAGAAAATTGGTAGGGGGAGCTACTGCTCAGAAGTGCTTATTCTTCATGTCAGGACAGAGGACAACAAAGAAATTATCTCAGTCAATTGACTCATAAGAGCTGGAGAGAAGAGACAGCTTGAAAAAAGAGGAGAGACTTGATCTAGTGCTGAGGGTTATTTTATATGTTGTATGCAAATACTTACTCTGATTAGATAGCTGGGCAGTAGTGTGACCCATTTCTGTCTGGTTTTTGTGCCTTCCCGCTTGCTTTAGCACTAACATCCTGATCTTAAAGCATGTTCTGTGTAGGTGGATTCCTGCAAGAGCCGTCATTTACTGGCATAGCATACCTGTGCAGATACATTTTACTGCTCAAATTACTAATGCATTTCACTCATGAAAATCATAGATAAGATAGTTAATCATTAAGAAGTTAAGTGGCTTAACTTCTTTTATTACCAACACACTGAATCAACTCAGATTTTATAGTGATTATAGTGATGTGCTTATAGAGTAATAAAGTATTGACTGTTTATGTACTCAGGTGATTTAATCTTAGTACAATCTGTTTTAACTCTCATTTCTTGTTGATTTTATAGCAAAAAAATTGCCCAAAAATGAACCACAGAATGCAGGAGCCAGCTCTGCCAGAGGAAGAGGAGTAGACCTTACTGAACCCACGCAACCACCCAAGACTCAATGTTGTAGTAACTAAAACATCAATTGCTTTAAACTGTTCTGAATATTCTTCTGCTTCCTAACTGTTAATAACCATGGAATTGGAGTGCTTAACCTGGCCCAGTACAGCTTCCAAACAGCGAAGAGACTTATGATAATAGTCAAGTTCATGCTACAGAGTTTTCTTTTGACCTAAAATTTTAACATGCATGTATCCACTGGCTGTAATGTTTCAGCAGTAGAGGAGAGATGGAAGCGGAATAAACTTCCTTCAGTTGAAAGGTTTCAAAAATCACTTGCCTTTAGGGGTGTAGAAGAACTACTTTCCATGGACCTAATTGGCCAGTTCCTGTAGCCTCAATACTGATTACTGTTATAATAGAATTGGGACTTTTCATAATTCAGTTGTGCTTTAAAACCTTTTTAGAAACAGGGTCTAAAAATTACTTAAACTTATTTACAGTATTGATGCAACCAGTTGTTTCTGCAGGTATCTACTGTTTAGTTATACATTCCATAGTTTAATAATTTAATTACAAATAATACTTGCATTAACAATTTTAAGATCCATATGCTTGCAGGAAGGTGGAGTTTTAGTTGGTACACTGTATGTAAATTATATCAACCCAGTTAGTTATCTAAAGGAATTAGTGATAAATCAAATTTAATTTCATTTCTGATCTGTTCAGAGGGTACAGACCAGTAAATTCAACTTTGACTTAGGATTTTTTTTTTCCCTCTGCAAACTGTAAGAGCTCTTCAAGTAAAACCACAACAAACTCGGTGTCTGTGACTTCTTTTTTGTTTTTAGTCATTGCTGGCCATTACAATTTATGTTTTTCCCCTAAGGAAAAAAAATAGTGCACTAACGATTATGTACATCCAACTTGATTTTAAATTTGGATATTAATGTACTGTAAATAGGTACTCTGCATTTTAGTCTACATTTGTTTAATACTTTCTGTAATATTTAAGAGTTGCTTAAAGGTATACAGAATGTACAGTTACTTAAAGCTAACTTTTTTCCTCTCTAATCAAAGGGGGTTCTAAGTTCTTCCTTTACGGCTAGAACAGTAATAAATGATGCTCCTGTATCTGTAACATAAGTACTGCTGTCTGTCAGTAATGAACTTTGCAACTTTGTTTTCCAAAGTACATTTTATTTTGATCTGTCCAGTATATTGCACTAATTCTTTTAGTTATTTTCATTATATGAAATCTACAAAGTGTGTCAGAAGAGATGAATTAGTCTATTTAAATGTTGAACTGATAGCAGAAACTTACTTGTGCAGATTTTAAATTTGCAGTAATCTGGTTTAGCAAGGAAAATGACAGTTCACCAGTGTTTAGTTTTATATTGAGGTGCTCAGGTTTGAATAAAGTGGTTTAAAAAAAAAAAAAAAACCAAAAGAATTTTTGATTACTGTTTCTTACTGAGAGTTTCAGAAAGTTTTATTGCATTTGCACAGTTCCAGACAAGATATCTGTTTTACTGTATGGGTCAGCATTTAAGATGATTATAAGTAAATTCATGACGCAGCTAAATATGAGCTTGTGCTGTACATACTGTGGCACTGCAGTTATGCTACGATAGATTTTTAAATGTTGAGGTAATTGGGTATCTTATCGCATCCATTTAAAAGTACAATCAAAATAGTAATGTTATCTCTTGAGCCTGCAGCTAATGCAGTCTTTACCAGTTGTTCACTAATGTAGCTTGCTATGTTGTCATAGAGTGTCTCAGGGGCGCCTCTGCCTCTTCCTGCAGTTTGTGATTTGCAACCAGACAGGTATGTTTTTGTGTCCTCTTCAAACTCTGGTGGGGGTTTAGAACCCACTGGTGATACAGTTTTTAGCGGGTACTGACCAGCGTAATGTGCAGGTTTGTCACAAAATATCTCGGAGTCCATTTTTTCTGCCAGTTGTGGACCTGAGTCATAATTACATAGGCATTCTTTTGTGTCTTTTGGGGGCTGCTTCATGTCTTTAGACCCTGTTGCTGGTACATTCTGCAGCTGTTTATGGGTGCAGCTTGGACCTGTTGCAGAGAACGTGTCAGTGCCTGTGTCTTCTTGCTCTGCAGTCTGTGACTGTGTATGAAAACTCTGACGTGGATACACATTTCTGTCCTCAGACTGTTTCACTTCTTTACAGCCACCTTGTGTGCTAGAATCGGACTGTTTTGTCTCTCTGCTCTGTGAACTAACTTCATTGTTACTCAAAAGAGGCAGTTCTGGATCCACTTGATTTTTGTGATCATCACTTTCCTTAGGAGCTCCATCTTTACTTTGCAAGTAGTTCCTTCTAGAACACTTTGCTTTATTTGTTTTCAGGTTGCCTTTTGAGTCAGTGTGAAAAATGTCTTCATTGGAATAGAGTATCTCTGTTCCATCTTGCAGATCCTTAATAGCCTTTGAATCTTTTAAGTTGTCTTCAGTCAGGGGTATCAAATCCTGACACTTAGACGGAGAAGTTCCGTTTTGTTGAACACATTCATACATTCTTAAATAATGAGTGAACATTGTTAATGTTAATACATGTACTTCATTGTAATCCAAAACCTCCCAAAGCCCATTAGAAGCTAAAATAAGAAACTGACAAGTGTCATCGATGGGGACGGATACAGTATGAGGTACAGGTATAACAGATCTCTTCAATACTGGATCTCCGTGATGTCCAAGACCCCTTGTAGTTCTCAGGTACCACTCTACTAATCCGTCTGGTTCATGAGTGCTGATGTTCCCACCATTCTGAAGTATGCGTTTCCTCTCGCTTACGTTAGAAGTGCTGTGCTCTTTTGAGAGGCAGTGACTCTTTCCATTTTTACATAAGACTGCATGCACATTACCTAAAATTGAAATGAGATAATATTTTGAATTCCAGCACAGTGATTTTTTTTTTTTTTTTAAGATATTGCTGTTAAATTACAGTTAGCCCTTTGCTAAGGACTGGGAAGAAAAATGAGGTCATAGTTCAATTTTCTGCTGTCAGAGATGTCCATGGATGAATCTGTTTCCATTTTACAGCAAAGTTTTCTGTGGGGTTTTTTCCTCACATTATTCAGAAAAGTATTGCAGAACTTTATTCTTCAGACTGCAACTAAGCTCCTTTGAGGAGTGTTAAGTGCCGTTTCCTTCAGCTTAAAGTGCAGTCTGATAGAAATGTTGCACCTGGACTGTTTTTTAAGCAAGAGTGTGTGTTTTTCTCAAATACTCTTTTTTTTTTTTACCTCCCCTTAGGAGAGTGTGTGCTTTTGAAACATTATGGCTGAATTAACTCATCAAGAAGTTTCAAGTTCAGACTATTTTTAGCAATGTAAGATTTTTAGTATCTGAAAACAATTTGGACATTTAAAATTTACAGTTTCTTAACATGATGCCTTAAATGGTTAAGGGACCCAAGGGAGTAAGAGTTCTTAGTCATGCAAAGTTGAGGACTAACTTCTTTCCTTTAGTAGGAACAGGTAGTTTACATTTCCCTCAGTACTTTTGAAATCTGTAGAGTGAGAACAGAAAGAGTTGGAAATTGTAACACTGCAGGTGACTGGTCTTGTTAGACTGGAATGCAGAGCGTAAAGAAAAGCAGCTCTGGAACAAAGTGATGTGTTGTTTGAGAGATGGCTACGCTGGGAGAAGACCATTTTTAGTGTTGCGGGAGGTTATTAGTCTGCTCCCATGTGCTGGCATAAGGGCAAAAACTATGTCTTCCAGAAGGAACTCCAGTGGGATGGTCGCTTTCCAGACGTTAAGCTGGCCAGTGTGATCATTTATATGGTGTTTTAATATCTGGCTAGACTAGGGCACAGATCTCTGAAAATTGTTTGTAAGTCGTCACCGCTTATACAGTAGTTGTGTTTCTTGGAAAGTGTTGTCACTGTGTAGGGTAGGGGACAGTGAAGTGTAGTCTGTGAAGGCAGATTTCTCTAGAAGGTGATTCAGAATATCAAACTGAAGGGCTCGCTTTTTATCGATTGTAGAATGTAGATGCCTTAAGTTACGCTGTGTGAATGTTTCCTTGTGCTTGCTCCCTCCTCTTTCCTCTGATTTCCATGGAGAACTAGAAGATTGTAATTTCCTTTGAACCCTCAGAGTAAGACCACCAGCTGTAAGCCTAACAAAGGGCGTACTATAACCCATGTGGAACAGTCCGACTGCAAGAAAGAGTAAAATCTAGTGGCTTTTGGATGAAAGTCTCTTGTCTGCAAACCAGAGACAGGGCAAAAGAATTGGCTAGAACTAGCTGACCTCTACTGTGGGACTAAATGAAGAAGGCAAAGCTGGCCAATGCCACCGTTTCCTGCTCTGCATATCTGACCATCCTCTTCAGTTGCTTACTTGGAGCTGAAGGAACATGTCTATACTTCTATAAGAACATGTTCTGGGGGGCAAATGAAGCTTAATGTTGTGCAGATCCTTGATGTGATACGTTTGGTGGAAAATTAAGTGTATTAGATTAAATAAATGTGTATTTAGAAGTGGTTCAAAAATGTGGACTTTAATCATAAAATGTTTGAAGTATCTCTGATCAACTTCAAGCCTTAACTCATAGAAGAGCTTGAGTTTACAGTATCTTTAATTGCAGACAGCATAAAACCTCACTTGGGAGGGAAGGATAGAGGGGGGTAACTAGAACAAGAAAACTTAGGTTGGGTGAATTCTCTACCAAATTTTCTTGCATTCATTCTACCTCTCAAGCTCATTGTAAGTTGTTTTGTTTGTTTTTTCCCCCCTTCCCCCCCCCAGTAAGGTGAAAACAAATGCATTTGTTAGGTTGGAAAACATTACAACCTTTCTGTGAGTTATTCCTGTATTCCATTAAAGGTGTGACTGCATTTCCTGCAAGAATATCTGAGATAGTTGAGAACATCTTGCAACTTCTAATATTCTAAGCCTCGGGCAGTTCTGTCCCAGGGCATTCAAGATGGCATCTGTAATGTTACAGCAGCCTGAAGCACACAAGGATTGTAACTTGTGGCATCCTCTGCATATTGTAATGACACCATCATCTGTTATTTGTAAGCATGTTTGAAGGTTGAGGGTCACCAGTTCGGGACAAAGTGCACCAATGTATTTCAAAGCTTCATCTTCAAGCTGCGTGCAGCCTTTCAGAAACAGGGCTTTGAGTCCACCACAGTCCACCACCAGTTTTGATACCAGTAACAGTAAAGTTCTGGTAGCTGCAAAAATGCTTGTGGGAAGTAGAGAAGGTATGGCTATAGCAACAAGCGTTGGGAGAATGGAGGAGAGGAAAGGGAGGGGGTAGACAGCAGTTACTTATTTCACTGTTGGTGTATGTTCAAGTTGGTTTATAGTGTTCCTCAGACTGGCAGAGGATTGCATATTATTATTAAACAAAAATATTACTACTATTTTTTAAAAAAAAATCTGGGATCAGTTTTTCCAAATGTGGAATATGTTTTTGGTTTGTTTGGGGGGTTTTTCTGCCTCCTGAAGAAATGAAGCCTCTCAAATGGTTTTCCCGTTCCCTACTGATCTTTGACCGTCTTGATTTATTTCAGACAAATTTCATATGAAGAAATCAGAAGAACTCTTAAAAGTTTTGTGAATACTCATCTGAGGAGGAAAGAGTTCCGCTGTTGATGGAAAGTTGCAGTGTTAGCACATTCCTTACTAATGCTAGGAAGAATGACAGAAAAGTATAGTGCTGGGCATGTGCTTCAAGCGGAGACTGGGAGGCACTGGTGAATATAGCTGTAGACACAAATCCATTTGAAACTATTCACCAAACAGCTTTCTTTATATAATTCTGCTTGTGTCTTTATGGGAAAGCAAGCATCTTGCTTGTAATCTTACAGCTGTCTTATGTACACAAAAAGAACTAACGGAAATCAGCAAGTAGGAAAATAATAATGACTAGAGTTGCTAAGAGCTGCAAGAGCTTTGTCTAGCAGGGCTGGAGGGAGAAGCATTAGCAATGTATCAGTGGTTTTGATTGTAAGTAATAACTGATTTTCTGCACTATAGTAAGGCAAAGCAGGGTTCTCCTTCATAATTCATAAGGTCTGAATAGATCTTCCATAATAACAGTAAATAACAACCAATTTCTATTTCAGAAATCAGTACTTCAGATGATCCCCACAGATTGTGTTTTCAGTTTACCAGTAGCAAAATGTGGTGGCACGTAATCACAATGAAACAAATTAATAAAAATAATCTCTTAAGCATGTTTCATTGACACAAGGGATTTAGCCAATCTGAAATCAGAAGATTTATGATTGTGTGCCCTAAAATGATGACACCTTAAACGTCCTCTTGATTTAAAAATAAATAAATAAATACTGTTCTTACTACTCTTACAGAGGTCACTTGTGTATGGAATGTTTCTTAACTGTGTCTTTTGCATTCGTAAATTGACTTTACTGCTTTAACTCAATTATCATATTGAAGGTACTTACCTAGATAAGCTTAATACTTACTGCCTGATACCAACATCAGTTGCAAGGGAACTTGTAATGTCTCCTTCACGTTATCAAGCTAAAGCAATTGCTGCTTTTTATCTCCAAATATCTACTGCCAACAAATCTGTAGCTATTCTTTGTCTTTTCATTGGGCAGAATAAAAAAAAACCCTGGTGAGGAATGTACATACCTATATTGGAAATGTGCAGTAACCCAGCAACACCTTTGGCTGTCCTGGCTAATGGACTGCCTGTGTTGTTTTCATAATGTTTTCTCTCTTCTTCCTCAGTGCTACCTGTCCTTTCGCTGGGGATTCTTTCCACCAAACAGGTAACTGCCGAACAGCCACTCCAGTGAACTTTGGAAACCTCATTCCTTCCCAGTCGTAAAAGTCTGTCCATTCTCCAAAAGGACTTGGCATACGCTTTGTGAATCCATTCGTAAGTGTTGGTCTTGTTGGTCTCGTCACTGCCTGGTTTATCAGAGAAAATCTTCTCTTTTTCCCTGTAATCTGCCTTGATTACTGTGGCAAAAGAATCTAGAATTTGCTGTTCATCCTTACTCTTTTTGTAGGAGGAATCCGTTTGAGCAAGCTGGTCAAGAAATAAAAGTGGAAGCTCTGCTGCAACTGCTTCTGCAGCTGTCACACCATGTGAACCATCAACTAACCCCAGAAAACATGTATCTGACCTATTTCCGTAGTTGTCCAGCACAATAAATCTGTCTTCCATGTCTCCCTGCCACGTGGAATTTTTATCTTGGCAAATTGATAATGCTTTTATTAAAGAATTATTTATTTTCTTAAAAGTACTCAGATTGTTAATATTGGCAAGATCACCATATGGTGTATGAGTGTGATTATCCATAAGGAATTCAAATGAATAATCAATCTTCTGCCTTTGTGTTTCGGAATATTTAGGAACATTTGTCAATTTTGAAATTAGTTTCTGTCTCTGAGCTAAAAGTGTTTTGTTGTCAGTCTTTCCTTGTGGGCTATCGAAGCCCAGCAAAGTTAGGGCTTTGTGGGTTTTTTTATGATAAAGAAAGTCATATGGATATATTGTTTGTTGACACACAGAACAAAAAATTGAAATGCACTTGGAATCATCGTTCTTGGGTGCAATTGGCACCTTCTCCAGCTGATCTTCCTCATCTCTGGAACGTTCAAAATCAGGTGGGTTGGTTTTGTCTTTTGACTTTTCCTCCCATGTCATTCTATAAAGGAGTTGAATATGTTAAGAATTTTCATATTTTCATATTTCGATATTTTAATACTAAGTGATACTACATCTACCTAAGCCTTGTTCTCACTCTCTTTATCAACTCTGAATTGCATCATTGTGTACTAATGCATACATGGTCAAGAAACTGGGAAACCCATGTGAGGTTATATAAAAATTATAGCTAATTACTGTGTTAAAAATCAGTAATACAGCAAATCCAAGAAGTGAAAAGTTTGGAAATACGGAATTCATGACACAACTTAGATTATTCTTTTACCTAGTGAGGTCTCAGTGGGTTGTTTCCTCCTTGTGATTCAATACATAGCCCTGTGCCTTCACACTGTTAGAGCTGTAAATATGGAGTAGTTCCTCGTCAGCTCTGCTGTATCTGTTCATCATTTTCCAGACATGGTAGTGGAGTGTAATTCCTACTTGTAAAAAATAAATAAAAAAAATATATAAAAGGGGAAAAAAAAAGGCATATTTGAGATTAAGATTAAAAAAAAATCTTCCAATTTTGCATGGGAAATAGGAAAGAAGGCCAGAAGCATTGGTGTATATCTAATCAAATCTCACTCATTGTAGTTTTAGTTGTGAGAACTTTAGGAGTCAACTAGAAAAAAAAAAAAAAACCAAACCATTATATTTAGGCACACAGAAGATCTATTACATTTTATGTGGATGATATTCTGTTGTTTTTCTTGCTTACGAGAGCTAGATTTTGCAGTGTTCATGTTCATTTAATGTAGGATGGATTTTGAATGTGTCAGTTTCTAAGCCAAGAAAGCATAATGAAGAACAAAAGTATTATCAAATGTGCCAAGCAGTGTTTGAGCTTTTAGGTCTGTGGGAGACACTCCTTGACACCCAGCAGCTTGAGCTGCAAGACCTGTGACCAGCAGTGCCAGGACAAAAGGAGAGATGTGCTTTGCAACAGCTCACGGAAGAGCAACGAGGCTGCAAGTGTGGAGTCAGGGTCAGGTACTGCAAGGACATAGCATCTGATCAACAAAAGGCTCTCTGCCACTTCCCCAGCAAAAGCTCATCTCTTCCTCCTGTCTCCCCGTGCCTCCTTGCTCCAATCTCTCCTTCCTCTTCAGCCCAGTCTCTCTCTCCTCGTTCTTGTCCACTGATGCTACCTCACCTCCTGAGTCCTGGGGCTCTTCACACTCCTGCACATCCATTCTCATGAATATCTGCTCCCAAATACCGCTCCTAGTGATGGGGATATGCATATACAAAAACACCTTCAGTCTCCTCCTGTTATTAGTAAAGGGAATACTGAGAGCCAGCATGAAATATGAGGCTGTTCTTGGGTCTGGCACCTGCTGCTACAAACCCAAGAGTCGGAGCTGTAGGGTAAGTCCTAGTGAGGCCCTCCCTGACAGAGGCCAGGGTGTGCAGAGGGGACTGTCCGAGTTCAGCATCTGCAGACTGGCATGTCTCCACCTTGCACCATCAAACTGGTGCTTCTTTTTAAACATTGTAACTTGCTCTGGTTTGGGTAAATTTACAAGAATGACAAAAGGTGTACCACTGATGCCATCTCAGCCAAATTTCCAAGCCCTAATTTAAAACCTGACGATCTTAGAGCTTCTCTATAAAATAGTTATTAGAATTTTGTTTTAATAGAAGCAAAACAATGTATTTTTCAAATCATATTCTCAGAAACAGCTAAACCATATTACCTGGAACTTTTTCAAATGATTCTGCTTCAGGCTTGGAAAATTTCAGTATGAACAGTTAATATCTAGCAGTTTTAAGTTACTGAAAACATGAGGTGAGCCTATTGGTAGCAGGACTAATAATTCGGACTATAATTTGAAATGGGTAAGAAAACATGTATATAACATACAGAGGCAATATCAGTATTGCTTAGGCAGCAGATGAAGTTAAAATTGTCCGAGTAGCTGCTGTGTCCTATGAAGTGTTGTGCAGCTGAGCCTTACAGCTGCTTGCATAACATCCTCTCCCCTAGATCAGCACCTGACATGCACATACAGACACCATAAGAACAGAAAATCCTGACACCATGCGAGAAGCTCAGCTTGCCAACCTATACGTCATCTGTCTACTAAGTGTGAAAACCTAGCGTTTGTTTATATTAAGTTATTTTTTTATTCAGTTAACATTTAGTATTTGTGTATGGATGAGAAATATCAGACAAAATGCATATATTATACGTTTTTATTGTATTCTCTCTTTTAAGGTTTCTGACTTTCAGTGATTTTTCGTTAACTGATGTTAAACCTCCACCAGGTCAAACAGCGGTGGTCTAGCAGCAGCAGTCTCCCCCCGCACCATTACGGGAGTAGCCTTTGGGAATTTCATCCTGCTTCAACCTCATCCATTTTCTGGGCTAGTCTCTTTAAATTTGATACAACCACACCTTAAAGTAACTGTTCTGCAACTGTTGTCTCTTCCAGGATTTCAGCTGGGAAGTGCATTTTCTTCTCTCTCACTACTTCTGTTCACTACCTCTGGATTATAAGCATTTCCATGATTGTGTTTCAATGCATGCTTTTTTTTTCCTGTGATGACAGGAAGCCCCAACCTCCTCCAGCCCCAATTATTAATCTTAACATGTCTTAAAGAATCAAGTGCCTCTGATCAACTAAGGTAGATCAATTATAAAATTTTAAATATAAAATCTCTTCTGTACAGGGTGATACCTCTACAGAGGCAGAGCTACGTAAAAAACCCTAATGACACTGTAGTATACCTTATCCTTGCAGGTGGCTACAGCTCTCGGTCTGTGGTAGGACCAGTTTTTGGGAGAGCCCATCTCCACAAGAGGTGATCATCAGCCTCCTTTAGAAATGCTGCACCACTTCAGTGGGGCAAGATAAGGAGGTACGTGATTAAAACAGCAACAAAAGGTGTTGTTGCACAGATCTCTTTTCCTTTATTCTGCATAGTCTGAATTTGAGACTGGGAGATTGCACAAGCCTTCTCACTGCTGTCATCGTGATGACGCATTCATGCCTGAGAAAAAGTAGGACTAATATATACCGAGAATCTGGTAACCTGCTTTTCGTCAGCCTTTTAAATATGAACCCATTTTACATTTAGTGTATATAAATTTCTCTGTCTTGGATCAGAGACAGGAAATTGAAAACTTTCAACAAAATGTTACTTTGACCTCAGTAAGCTTTAATTCTTAACACTCACATACTTTATAGATGTTTATATCTCTGTAAGTGGTTGTAAGTGCTAACAAATCACAATTTCAGAGCACCAAAATTGTCCCACTTTATTACAATGTGTAAATAACCAGGATAATACGCATAATAATTCATGTAGAACAAGGTATGCTACAATTCTTCAGTTATAATAATTTCATTCATAATTATTAAAATAAGGACAGTCCTGATGTTCATTTTTTATATGCTTATATTAATAGCTAAAAGCTTAGTGAAAATGAAATAAAGGAAACATTTCCTTTGTTGATTTCTTTATGAAGTAAAAACATTAGTCTGTATTTCCTTCTCTCCTTTCATTTCCCTCATCAGGAACAGATACAGACTTGCAAGTCTTTGCTGTCAGTTTAAAGGATAACAGTGAGATACTGACACCACAATACACGAAGCTAAAGTGCTCTCAGCCTCAAAGCAAAAGATAAAATTCAGCTTTCTAGCTCACTGCATTTTCCCTGTGCCTATTTAGGGAGCCAAAACCCAGCACTGTTTAATGTTCTGAGCTGAAAATAGAAGCAGATAAAAAAAATCAGAAGATGCAGAATGGGGAGGGAGCCACAGTTTGAGATTGTATGCTGCCTTGTGTGTGAGAGGGGCAGAACAAGACTGCAGGCCAGGGGCTCCTGTAGCAGAGGACACCATCATCCCAGTAAATCTATTTCTGGAAACCCTCTCTAGCTGTGCCACTTGGAGTTGTTTGCTGTTCATATAGCGAGGTGAGATTATTTTCTGTTTCTGCAGTTTGGCACTACAGTCTGACTATTTCATTAGTAAAGATGTCACTAATTGAGCTTTGAGGATCTAGGATCTGATCTGTATCCAAACAGAGAAGTTCCAATATGTAGTCATGTTATTCTTGTCTCTACCCAGATCTGTGCTTCTTCCTCACTTATATTTGTCACAGTGAGCACTTAATTTATACAATCTCTAGTCCCAAACTCCTTCCTTCATGAGATTTAGTTTATTATTATTATTTGTTACACGCTTTTGGTCTTGGAAAATAGTGACTATTATTGATGCTGAAACCAGCACTGAGAACCTGTCTGCAGGTGACAGGAGGAGACAGGGAAGGGCTGCGTGATGTAAAATGGAGGTCACAGTCTCCCTGAGCTTCTCATCACAATATTATCAGCTAATACGTATAAACAGGCCTACTGCTGCAAATTCTTGCTGAATGAGCACCAGCTTCCTTGCTTGTCTTCCCTCTTCTACTTTTTTTAGTGCCTTTTCTCTGCTCGTGCCTCAGCCAGCACTTCCTTCTCAGCCCCTCCTTTCCCACATGCCTGTGATGCCATGATGTGGCTTTGTTGCCTTCACATGTTCAGCCCTGCTCCCCTCCTCCTGAATGACTTCCCTTCCCTCTGCCTGTCACACAATTTGACAGCGGCACTTGCTCTGGAAAATTGTCAGTGAATGCATCATACCTGCTTGCAGAAACCAGGGTGAGGGCTCGGCGTGGCTAAGACTGTCAATGTGCCTGAAGCCACTGTTACCTGCCGAGCAGCCATCACGGGTGGTCAGTGGGGCTGTAGCATTGGCCCTGGTACAGCTTCACAGCACGGTGTGGTGCAGCATGGCCAGAGTCAGCGTCTGCTGTGCAGGTGCTGCCTTAGCAGATCCCAGTTTTACACAGTCACCTTTGGCCAAAGCAGTGAAAAGCTAACATCTTACGTGAAAACCCTTATGTACCCTTTCTTAAATGCCTATAAGACCTCTGAAAAACTCTTCACCTGAAAAGACAAACTCATTTGCTAACCCAGCAGCCATACCCTGCACCTTCCACCAGTTTTAGCA